GTAGGGGTTGTTAAAGGTCCACGAGCTCAGCTATAAAGTTCCAACAACCGAGTTCTTATCTTCACTTGATTTGGACCACGGTGTCCTACGCTTCCGGCTTATGAACCAAGATCATGCCTTGTCCCTAGACCAAATCAATGCCATAGTCGGGGACCCCACAGAACATACCTTTGGCCCCAATGACTCGATTCCAGGATACAATGATCTTTTGTGGTGGATCAACCTTACGCATCTCCACCCGTATGTCTCAAGTTCTGCTAAGGCCTCATCTATCATCCATCCTGTGATGAAAGTGGCCCATCGGATTCTTGCTTCGCTCGTCACCCCTAGAGAAGAGCGAAGCACCATTAACGCTCTTGAGCTCAAGATTCTTTATGCTATGGCCCACCTGGACGATAATCCCATTCCTCACTATGGCTCATTCCTTTGCAACAAACTTACCCGCCTCAGCACGTCACGGTCTGACAAAATATCTTGTGGTGGCATTGTCAGTTTATTTGCCAAAAGTGCTCCAGTCCGGGCCCAATATCCCGGAATTCACCAGCCTCTTCCCGGTGAGACCTACCTTACCACGGGAGTTCTTGAATCTATGAGAATGTTTCGGACAGAGGACGGGAACCATAATTGGACCGTGGGCCAAAACCACGACCCAAGGCTCCTTATCACCCCTGAGAATCAGGGCATCCTTGCCCTCAGGCGTCCTAACAACCTCACCGATTGGCAAATCACGCCATATCTTTTCCCCGACTCCCTCTCCGAGGAGGAAGATGAGGAAGGTGGAGAAAGTGATGAGAGTGGCGGGGTGACACCACAAAATTCCCCTCCCATGGGTGGTGCCAGCTCATCCCATCATGCTGGGCAACCATCATACCACCACCAATATCTAGATCAATTCCAATCGATCCATATCCGCCTCGACACTTACCATCAAGATGTCATGAACCTCACTCAAAGTTTTTCCGCCTTCACCACTCAATACGCTCGAGATCAAGAGCGGCAACGCAAACATGAGGAGGACTTTTGGGCTTGGACCCGAAATCCCAGCTACTATCCTCCTCCTCCTCCTCCGCAATAGGTTGTTCCACCCTCTCCGAGCATCGGGGACGATGCTTATATTTAAGCTTGGGGAGGGGTAGAGTTGTACATTAGGTGCATTTTCATGCATGCATTTTTAAAAAAATAATTACCTTTCTTATTTTCATTTTCCTCGCATTCTGCATTTATAAAACCCAAAAACATTTTTTTCTCAAGTTTTTGCATTCCATCATTTTCATGCATCATCATCTAAAAAAAAACTTTATACGAGATGATGACACTCTTTACATACGATAGCTCCATGAAGTGGGAAAACGAGAAATCAAATGAAAAAAATTCTGAGGCGACCGGATAGTTGCCGGAAGTGTAGAATCAGCTATCATAACTAGGGGACCCAAACACCGTAATTCGAGACCCCAGCCTTAGATAATAATAAAAAAATGGAATACTGAAACGTTTTTATGGGCGGTAATAACAGCTTTAGGATGATTTGCTTTTGAATGTTTAAAAAGAATCTTTATCGACAACTTTGGACCCACAGAACACGGACCTATTTGTTGACACGCGTTACCCTCGCGGTAACAGAGAGCTTAAGTATCAGATCTACACAGTCAAGAAAGAAGAAAGGGTACAACTGTGACATCCAGTACCCCAATCAGAATTTCAAGTGCCAAAACGAAGAAACTTTCAGAAAGTCAAAAGTTGATTGAAGAATTCAAAGCTCAAAATGAAGATACAAATCCAAGTTCAATCAAAAATCAAAGGTCGCCTCAAAGTCAAATCTGGCGAATGAAAAAAAAAAACTGTGTGATATGATACTTGTGGCTCTCGAAAAAGTGAAAGCATAGGAGCCGGGCCCCTTCGGGTGGGCTCACTGTTTCAGCGAAAGCTGATTCGCCGTGACGGGTTCTTAAGGATGCGTCGATTTTGATTCTTGGCCATCTAGTCTTAAGGACATGAGATCCGGATTGTGTTATTTTCGCCTATAAAGCTAATTAAGGTATGAAGTTTAAATAAAACTATGGTTGGATTATTGGGTTACACCGTTTAGGGTCTTCCTCACTTTGGGAGTCTGTGATATGTGGAAGGTAGCAGGATGGTCGCCTAGGTACTAATGATTGGAGCCCCATTGATGTAAGGTCTGATCGTATATGTCCATATTTATAAAAATAAATAAAAAGATTACTTGTGTTCTTAAATTTTTCTTTGGTTCATTTTTTGTTCCTTAAGTATCTTTTGTACATATGTTTCTTTTTCATGGTTTTCATTGCATGCATTTATTCCTAGCCTTTAGGATCTTTCTATCCCTTTTTGTTCTATGTTTCTTTTTGCCGTCTAGAAATCGTCCTGTTTTGTCTGATTCTTGTTCGTTCTTGAGGACAAGAAAGGTCTAAGCTTGGGGAGATTTGTTAGGTGCAATTTGTGCACCTTTTTGCACATATTTTAGTCCCTTCTTATGCATCTATTTAGCATAATTGTTCTTCATTTGTCTTGCATTTCATCATATTTCATGTTAGTCTCTAGAACAACCTTATTTGCACACTTTCATGTCTTTTTTAGGTAAACCGGAGCTTGGAATGCGCTTTGGGAGGTGCCGGGAAGCATTGGCTAATAAACATTATTTCTAGTATTTGTAAGTTGTAACTGCACATTATTTCCATCTTTTATTCTTGTGATCTTTTTTAGCCATGTGTGGCTAAGAAACCCTAGTTTCTAGTTCTCGTTCAAAACATGTTGATTGCTTGACTTGAAGCATATGATTTGATGTTTGATTTGTGATTCTATTTTAGTGATTATGTTCTTGTTTAAACTAGAATCCTTAAATTTGATTTGTGTTTGATTGGCCACTTTCATGAATTGAATTTTTGTGTAGTTAATTAACTTTTAGGGCACCTAATCGTTATATAAAGTTAATGGTTGGTAACAAACAATAGGTTTTCTTATTGTAGAACATTTATCACATGTTTTCACACTTCCGAGCGTATGAGAAGAAATGAACATTGTTGGGAAGCTTGTACAAAACTTAATGCAGTTTTTCAATACAATCTAAGAGCGTGTTTAGGTTGAATTAGTAAAGCTAGGTCTAGTCAAAGAGCGTGTTTTGGTTAGATAATTTGGCAAGCGAGAGGTATTAGAGCGTGTTAATATCTTTCAGTACCAACTTAGAATAGTAATCACAAATTACATCAAGTCATAATTAGGTTAAATGACAACATTGAGAACTAGAACTGGAAGCACTTTTACAACTTGTTTACAAATGTATTTCATTTTCTGCATGTTTCAAAGTTGATTGTTATTTTCATTATTTGACTTTTGCAAACAAATCCCCCTTTGTAACCAAAGTACCTTGTGCAAAGAGGTATAGACTTTTATCCTGTGTCTCTATGGTTCGAGCCTGCTTGCCTTGTACTACCTTTTTAGTGCATTAAAGCAGTGTATTTGGAGTCTGTTGTACCCCTATTATTTTTTGGTTTTGACACGCCTAACAGAACTTGAAGAAGGAGCAAGGATACACCAAGAGCTTGTAGATCCAGAAGTCTAGCACCATTTCTGACTCATTTGAGGTATCAAGTTCCAAACTTGGCCATTATGTTCTTAGGTTTGCTTATGGGGGTGTTTAAGTTTACTTTTGGACTCCATTGTTGAGGCTTCTTGCATCTTGATGATTTCAGACCATAATAGCTGTCGTTTTGGGCTCTTAGAGGCACTAAGAACCATAAAAATCGGACATTGATGGTTAAGCCCCAACCATGCAAGTGTTTTTGGGTCTTAAAGTTTGTTAAAATGACCAAAATCATGTTTTGACCCTAACCTTGCATGCAAACACATAAAGTTTGTGACTTTATGGTTTAGGAGGTCTTAAAGGACCTGGATCTGCATTTTGGACGAAAAGACTTAACAGATTAAGTCATGAATGAAGTCCCAAAGAATCTGGCCAGTACGCTGGGCGTACTCCCTGGTATGCCGCGCGTACTAGGTCAACTCCCCGCTCTAGTCAAGGCCAGCATACGTTGGGTGTACGCGCCAAGTACGCCGCGCGTACGCATGCAGAATGAGTATTTTGGGCTTTGGGGGCCTTAAGGAAATGGGTCTCGACTTTTGGGCCTCGTGGCCCACTATGAAGTATAATTTTGAACTTGGGAATCTGAAATTAGAGTATTGGGCCTATTGGGCCACAATTGGACCCCCTTGCAATCATTATATTAGGACTTGAACTTTTAGGCCCATTTGGGGGTTAAGGCCCAATTCAGAAATTAGGCAATTAGTGGGCCCTTAGGGAGCCCTTATTACAAAATAACATATAAAAATGCAGATTTTTTTTAAAGATGTTAACATCTAAAAATAAATAATGACGGAGCTTTTAGTTTTGTTTCTTCTAATTACCTCAAAAAATTTGAAGGGTTTTGACATCTAATTTTTTTTTTTTAAAAATAAAATTGCAATTTTTAAAAGCTTCTTCCTTTGTATATTTTCTTTTAACTATATATAAATCAATAAAACAAACTTTAATTTATGGACTTATATAATTATATATCGCAATAATCTATTTTAAGAGTTTCTTGCAATTTAAAATTTTTATAATCCATGAATAACCATAAGATTTATATATAGTGGGACCTAGTCAAAAACTCAAAATTATGTCTTGATCGAAATTTTATACAATCATGCATTGAAAATTTAAATTATCCATGAATAACCATAGAGACTAAGCATATCACAAATAAAATTTTAATTAAACACACTAAAATTGAAATCATAAATACAAGTTTTTTAGAACAAATAAGTAGAGTACCATTAGCATGTTGGGCTTTGTCTGTGAAGAAAAGAGGCTGCAGACTTGACATAAGTAAACCCCTGAAAGAGGTCAAATGAGCCATTTCAGTAGGGGCATATCCGTCCAACATTTGTCAAAGTTAGCAATGTATTGATTTCCAGAAACTTCCGGACGAAAACTCGGCTGGATTTCACGTGCATCCAGTTTCTTCCAGTTTATGATTCTTTATTTCATCACTTCCTGTTACCCTATTGACTAGCCTCTTGTTTGGATCCTTTTGTAGCAACTAAAAAAAATATAAAAAAATAATTTTTTTATGTGGTCAAACTTGGTCAAGATTCAATTTTTTTTTAGAAAATAAATACACTTACCCCTTTCAAAAGGGCGTGTGCTTCACTTGACAAAAATACAGGGAGCTTCATCTTGTCTTTCACTATCTTTTTCTGTACTTTGTCCCTGTTTCCTCCATGAAACGGTGGCTGTTCAAGATTAAATTAGACTTATAAGGGCAAAACGGTCATTTCACTAGGAAAATTTTACCAATAAGAAAATCACAATCACCTGTCCTATGAGCATCTCAAATAACAAGATTCCAACACTCCACCAATCAGCAGCCTTGTCATGGCCTTTACCAAGAATAATTTCAGGTGACATGCATTTTCATCAAACTCTTTTGCTAGCCCAAAATCCGTAAGCAAAGCCTAAATAAATAAACTCACAAGTTTAATAAAAGAACTGTTTCATCATCATGTGGGACCCATCAAGAGAGTGGACAAAGTTAGGAGGAAAGGCTGTTCTTTGTCAAAATTTTATATTTTTATAAGATAAGATTATACATTTATTGATTTTATAATTTTTGACAGGTTATAGCAGTGAAAAACAATCCAGTACAATGGACAACTCCTCTTGGACTTCCTGTTGTTCAACCATACCGCAAGTTAGGAAGGCATCTTGTGAGTTCTTTTAGTATGTCAAATTGTCAAATCAAGTCCCTGCATTTTGGCTTTTTTGCTAATACGAACCAAAACTTTTTGAAATGTGTAGATTAAGACATCTCTTCAAGTTTTGACACTACAACGAGAAACCGATAAGGTTATATCTGTAACATTTTCTTTATTATGCGAAATGCAAGAAATAACGTTTTTTTAATTATCATAGGTGATGGTGAAAAGACAAAGAACAGCCTTTCCTCCTAACTTTGTCCACTCTCTTGATGGGTCCTACATGATGATGACAACCATTGCTTGTAAAGAGGTTGGCTTAAGTTTTGCAGGTTCAAAATCATTATTATTTCATATTTTTTTATGCAGTGGTTCATTCCATTCTTTGATTATGATTTTAATTGAATAGGATGAACCATTCCATTCCTTCTTTCATGTTTCTGTTTTTTTCATTTTTTTTTGCTATAATAGGAGGCTTATGAAAGTGCTATGGTGGCTAAGTTTGGTGATGATACTAGTTGTCACCCCCTCTTGGATAATGAAACATGGTGTGATGTTTCCGGAGGAGTCAAGAAAGGAAGAATATATGGATTCGGATCTGTGTCTGATCCAGCGAGCTTTTTGGAAGGAACATCTAGTACAATAACATCCCAAGAGGTTCGTTTAATTTTGTACTTTATAAAAATTTCCTATCATAGCATTGTACTTACAAAGTTTCATATCATGACATTGTACTTACAAAGTTTCCTATCATGACATTGTACTTACAAAGTTTCCTATCATGACATTGTACTTACAAAGTTTCCTATCATGGCATTGTAATTACAAAGTTTCCTATCATGGCATTGTACTTTAGGTTGTCTATGAACGTGTACGAAACGAGATGCGTGGGGAAATGGATGCTAAAGCTGCAGAAATGGAAGCTAAGCATTAACAAATGCGTGAGGAAATGGATGCCAAAGCTGCAGCAATAGATGCCAAACAACAACAAATTGATGCAAAATATGAAGCAATGGAGAAGATGTATGCAACCTTGCAAAATATGATGGAAAATTGAAAATTAGAGGTAATATGATGTTAACCATTAGTATTTGATGTTTTTGAATGACTTGTTAACCTTTTGTATTTGATGTTTTTGATTGTTTTGAATAATGTTTTATAGGAATGAGGACCGAAGATGATTGGATGGACATGAAATGAAGAGAGCAACTAAAATGTTATTTTGAAGTTATGTTTTGTGAAAACTCATTTCCCGATGCTTATTTTGAAGGTTAAACTTTTTTCTGTTTGTACCTCTTTTGCATACTTTGGATTTATTGGTGTTAAAATGTTGTCAATCGTTGGGAGTTTGATGTTATGTGGACAGTTCTTAACTGTTGGTAAACTTTGATAGTTTTGGTATTATAATGTTTGGTTGTATCATTATTTGATGTTTTTTTAGTATAATAGTTTGATGATTGTAGTATTTTTTCTTTTAGAATCATAATACAAAAAATGATATTCCAAGTTCGCGATGGATTAATGACAAAAAAAATAAATAAATAATGCATGAATTTTGCGAGGGATTAGCTACGGAAAAAAAAAATCATGTCTAAAGTTTGCGACGAATCAGTGACGGAAAGAAAAAGTTAATGTACGAATTTTGCAAGGGATTAGATATGGAAAAAAATCATGTCTAAAATTTGCGACAGATCAGCGACGTAAAAAAATAGTATATGAATTTTGCAAGTGATTAGCTACGGAAAAAAAAGCTGATCAAAGAAATTGCGACAGAACAGCGACAGAATGACTTTAACAAATTTTGTTGTTGATGCCCTGAGTAAATGCATTGAGTGACATTTAGCGACGGATATTCTATCGCTACATTTGTCGCAAGGAAAAACCGATCCTTCGCTAAAACCCTCGCTGGGAAATTAGCCACGTTTTAATTACCTATGGAGTGAGTCCGTCGCTGTTCCATCGCAAACAACATTTAGCGACGGAATAGCGACGGATTCTTCCGTCTCTAAACCCATGTTTCTAGTAGCGTAAGAGTATATTCGGAAAAAAATTTAAGAAGCTACCCTAAGGGCGTGTTTGGCACAGAGCTTTTGGAAACGTTTGGGAGCTTCTAACTTTTAACTTTTGATAAAACGCTCTAGTTTAAACAAAAAGCTTCGTTTGGCAGTACGAGCGTTTAACTTTTAGTTTTAACAAAACTCTCCGATTCTAAAAGCTACTTCATGTAGCGTTTAACAAAACGCTCCTGAGCTTTTGAAATCAATTTCCATAATTACCCTTAAAAATATATTTATATATTTATTTATTTATTTATTTTTAATCAATTGTCCTTTTATGTAATTTTATATATTTCAAAAGCTTTCAGCTATTTTTGCCAAACATTCATATAACAAATAAAAGCTACAGTTTCCGGCTACCAGCCACCTGCTACACGCTACCAGCTACCCGCTTCCAGCTAACAGCTACTTTTGCCAAACAAGACCTAAGTATCTTTAAAAAAAAGAAGTTTATCAGCTTGTCAAAAACATGACATTAAAAAAATTTAAAAAAAAAACTCAATAAATAAGCTAACTTATCAACTAGTTGTGACACGTCAAACATAACATTTATATTATTTTATATCTTCTAGCTACCTTATCAGCTAGTTTTTACAAACATTAAAAAATCTTATTTACTTTATTTGTAAAAAATCATCACTGTTAATATGCATAAAAACATTTTTTACCAATTGAGAAGCTTAATCGCGACACTTGGTATTAATAGTTGGATGGTTTTTAACTTTTGATAACTATAGTTTAAAAAATTTAATTTATTATCAATATATTCTAATTTTATTTTATATTTATATTGTCCTTATATGTAATTTTATATATTTTCAAAAGCTTCCAGTCACTTACGAACAAATAAAAGTTACAGTTTTCAGCTTTTAGCTACTAGCTTCCAACTATATTTTCTGAACATGCCCTATTTTGGTTTAAAAGGTATAATATATTAAAAATTCTAAATAAAACAACTAATATGAAATACTATTATTACATTGCTCGTCAAAATGGAACTCATCACTATTTTGTGTGTTTGAAATCTTGCAAAAAAGTGTCTAAACTAATATTTTTGTCAAAAAAAATTTCTCGAAGTACAAAACCAATGAATCATTTTAATGTATGGTACATAACAAAATCAAATAATAAATGTCAAAGAACAAAATAAAATAAAATAAAGAGCATTTAATATTAGACAAACAAGTTTTTATTTTGATAAAAATACAACTATATGACAAAATTAAATAACAAATAAACAAGAGAAAATTATAAACTTGACCCATATGGTTTGCCAATTTTTGTGGTTACAATCATGCAGTTTTAAAATCGCAAGAGGAACTTCACCAGTCACCACTGAACTAATTTCCATGCGGTTTCAAAATTTACTTGCTAATTTTACAACTTCTCCTCCCAATCCCATGGAGTTTTATCATCAATGATACCTTAAACGGTTGAAGATCAATGTTTAGCTTTGATATCAAGCCATTTGCTACTTCTAATGAGATTTTCTCTCGAGTATGCAATTTCATCATGTTATTATTCTCAGAAACTTCCAAAATTTTCCATAGTTTCATTTGGATCCATCTTTGTTTTTGTTTCTACTAAATGCTGGTTGCCATCTTTCATCGCCATAAGCATCTCCAACTCCTTCTCCACGTAACATCTCTTAACTAGATGACTTGAAGTTGGAATCAGGGCAAAATGACTGGAATCGTGAATTATATGAGCTTAATGAGTTAATGGTTTAAGTACTTTTTGACTTAATGGGCTTAATTGAGTATGCAAAATACCATCTTCACTTACTGATGCTGCATAAATTACAAATTACAAATTATTGACACCTAACTCACTATTGTTAATGGCGCTCATTCAAAAAATAACAACATTATTGATTATATTTATAAGGTCGACAAATAGTCAAAACAGAAGCAAATTAAGAACAGTAGTACCTCACAGGCTCACACTACCTTCGACATCAAAACCTACAATTACAATTTTTTATCGTTTACTTGAACTGGTAACCCTGTACAACAAATTACAAGTAATTGGAGAAACGCAATAGAATTGCAGGTGCAATTAAAAATACAAATCAGTGGTTGAAAAGATCATGAAAAAAACAAAAAATTACGAATAACAACAATGAATATAATACATGGTGGCGTTGCTTTGATAATTCGATTTTCTAGGGCTCCTGGGTTGTCAGAGTAAATTTAGAATCAACAATACTATTACAGAAAATACTAATTACAAATATTGTTATTATAAAATCTGAAGAATATACGAGTCGTTGATACTTGATAAACCCTAACGATTGTTCGATAAATAGGTTATGTATTTAGTTATTAGATTCAATTAAAAGATAACAAGTCAGGATGGCCGAGTGGTCTAAGGCGCCAGACTCAAGTTCTGGTCTTCGAGAGAGGGCGTGGGTTCAAATCCCACTTCTGACATTTTGAGGAAAATTTAATTTTATCATTTCATGTCTGTTTATACCTGGTAGTCTTATACCTTGTTACAATGTTCATTGTCGATTGAGTTTACTTTTTCTTTTTTAGATAACTATATAAGATTTACTCAACTATAATCATGAATATTTACATTTTAGTTTAACGAATTATAAATGAACTCACTCTAACTATATGATAAATCATGTCATACAATTTGTTTATTTACTTAATCTAAAATTATAATTTCAGTCCCAATTTTGATATTGATCCAATATTATCCTTGAATTTATATTTTGTGCCCACATGACATTTTGAGAAAAATATTATTTTACCATTTCAAGTTTATATATATATATATATATATATATATATATATATATATATATATATATATATAGTCAAGATCAAATAAGAATGAAATTTTTGGTAGGAAGGTAAGAAGTTTTTTTTCTACATATTTTTTTCGCGAACAAACAAAATGAATCATTAGATGATTCATTTGTAAGATGATTCACAAGGAAAAATTCCCAAAAAAACATCTTTATGATTAATTTTTAAGTAAATTAAGAAAAAATTCACTTTTATGACAATTTTAGTGAATAACAACAAAATCATTGTACAAATGACATCTCGATGATTCATTTGTACAATGATTTTGTTGTTATTCACTAAAATTGTCATAAAAGTGAATTTTTTCTTTATTTACTTAAAAATGAATCATAAAGATGTTTTTTTGGGAATTTTTTCTTGTGAATCATCTTACAAATGAATCATCTAGTTCATTTTGTTTGTTCGCGAAAAAAATATGTAAAAAAAAAACTTCTTACCTTCCTACCAAATTTTTTTTTTACCGGATATAGGATATAGATCCGGTAAGAAAATTTTTTTGGTAGGAAGGTAAGAAGTTTTTTTTCTACATATTTTTTTGACGAACAAACTAAATGAATCACTAGATGATTCATTTGTAAGATGATTCACAAGAAAAAATTCCCAAAAAAAATCTTTATGATTCATTTTTAAGTAAATTAAGAAAAAATTCATTTTTATGACAATTTTAGTGAATAACAACAAAATCATTGTATAAATGAATCATCGAGATGTTTTTTGAGAATTTTTTCTTGTGAATCATCTTACAAATGAATCATCTAATGATTCATTTTGTTTGTTCGCGAAAAAAATATGTAGAAAAAAACTTCTTACCTTCCTACCAAAAATTTCCTTCTTATTTGATCTTGACTCTCTCTCTCTCTCTCTCTCTATATATATATATATATATATATATATATATATATATATATATATATATATATATAGGGTTAAGTTCATATGAGACCATGTTATTTTGTGAGACATGGGGACCTATTTATGTCCCTTGATCAAAAATAATCTAAGGCTGAGATCAAAACATACAATTTGATAAGTGGCGGTGGCAATTTTGAAAATTTATC